CCTGTAAACAGCTAATACATAAGTTTAGTTACTTCTTTACTTCACATCAAGAAGCACGACACCGTTAACACCCTGTAAACAGCTAATACATAAGTTTAGTTACTTCTTTACTTCACATCAATAACCACGACACCGTTAATACCCTGTAAACAGCTAATACATAAGTTTAGTTACTTCTTTACTTCACATCAAGAAGCATGACACCGTTAACACCCTGTAAACACACGACACCGTTAATACCCTGTAAACAGCTAATACATAAGTTTAGTTACTTCTTTACTTCACATCAAGAAGCATGACACCGTTAACACCCTGTAAACACACGACACCGTTAATACCCTGTAAACAGCTAATACAAATTTTTACTCTAACACAAGATTCAGCATAGATTTCACTAAACTATTTTCCTCTCTCTCTAAACCTTGCTCTACCAGTACAATTTGTTGATTATGTAAAATTATGCACATACTTTAAACATTTCTCTTCTGCACTGAACAACTGGCACTGTTCGTGTAGCTGTCTCAGTCTCTGAACAGATCCTGCTGCTGAGCCATGGACCCGTTGAATGTGGACACTGAGTGAAATGGCCAATTTCAGGAATTTTAAAGCCTGTTTCTTCTCACATATATACCCTGTTGAAAATAAAACAACATTACAATCAGCTTCTTCTCAAACACACACACACATACCTTGTTAAAAATAAAACAGTTCTAGAGCCTGCTCTGCTCTTTCTTATTCACGCAGTGTTAAAAGCCAAAGACCCTTACAACATGTTCCTGCTCTTCTCACTCACTCACAGACAGTTTAAAATGACACGGACGTACATCCCACTCCTTCTCACTTCCATACTCCATCAAAAATAAAACAAACATTCGATCTGTTCCTTCTCACTCACCACTAAAAATCAAACAACCATACATGTTGCCTCTTCTCATCCAGTGATTTTAGATGGTTTATAAACATGTGGTCATAAAACAACCAGTATTACTTTATAGTTAATTCTAACAAGCAGAAATATGATGAGAGGATTACATTCAGAAACCTTTAGTTCTCTCAGAAGATCTTCGACAAGGGCGTTGGATTCTCGGGAGAATTTGAAGCTAAAAACAGCAAACCAGTGCCTGTAAGTAAAATAACAACCCCGTTCGTTAAGTAATTTGATATTTCAAATCAAATAAAGTCTGGGCTCCAATCTTTGAAACATAGGCTGCCTTTCAGCAAAGCGTAAATTTTATGATTTACAGCAACACACTTCATTAAAGCTATTCTTTATCTACTACAAATATATGTTAAAAAATCTAAGGCTATTGGTTTACAAAGGGTCTTCTTCCATCATTATACATACTTCTCAAAATCATATTTATCTCTTCCTGGAATTTAGTAGTAAAGTCATAGAAGATTGGCCTGTTTACACTGACTATATATGTTAAAATTGATACCATTATTTAAAACCTAAGCCTAATGTTATCGGGGAATGTTTTTTTAAGGTTTTGTTTGAACCAGCAAGGCTAATAAATACTTTATGTCACGGAATTAACAATTTTAAAACTTAAATTATTAATCTCTATAGATATAGGTGGGGGGTCAAAATGCACATCATAACCTTTTACACACATTCAAAGTTTAATCAATTTATCATCACCATCAATAAGCTGGACATCAAAATACAGTTCATAACTGAAATCTTTATGTCATCGAACTTGTAATTTTTTAATTATAAATGGAAATATTTCAGTCACGTGACTTAGTGGAGCTGTGATTTCACCTTTACAAGTGCCTCAGACCGTTCAACCAATTAGAAACTTGTACTATAAATAACGACAAGCTAAAATATTAATGTCAACCTTTTTTTGCGGTACCAATGAATTTGTTCAACCCACACTCACATTGCTCCTCCTATACCCTCTGTCTTGATATTTCAAATTAAATAAAGTCTGGCCTCCAATCTTTGAAACATAGGCTGCCTTTCAGCAAAGTGTAAATTTTATGATTTACAGCAACACACTTTATTAAAGCTATTCTTTATCTACTTATGACCCTTTTATCACCAATAAAAAGAGCTAATGTAAATCACACGATTATCTGCTTTACTTGAGTAATAAAAGTCGATAATTTGTTGTGAGTGGCTGATGTGTTTGGACTGTAGACGTTGCTCCTAGATGTAACGAAATTTTTAACCTATTTATATGTTAGTTAGAAAGCCAGAAATATTTCGGTGGCTATCTTCTGCAAGTCTAATATTGACCTGGAATTATTGATTAAAGAAACCCTCCACATCAAACAGCATTCTCCAACACTGAACAACATACAGTCTTCATTTAAATTATACATTTTTTAATATGCCCGTATTATTGATTTTACCTTTTTTTGTTGGTGTGTTTTCTTGCTGTAGTTTCTCCTCATGACTACTGTTTTGTGTTTTATTTGTTTAATTATCATTATATTTAGCTATTTCAGTAGCTTTTATACAATCTAATTTAATAAAAGCCACATGAATTATTTTTCAGACAACCAACATACTTATAAAAGTAGGCTTATAAAAATCTCTTGTTTTTTTTATGCATAGTTTTGTACCCAGAGAAACAAAAATGTAAAAAAACTAGTAACTTATTCGGTTAGATAAGAAATCTGAAAGAATAAAACAAGTTTTCCTCATCACAACTCGAAGAATGTACGAGTTACACACGCATGATATAATTCCACCCATTGGTTTATTGATTTTCATAGTACTAAGGCACGGTTTAAAGAACAGTAATATAGTAAAGGTGAACGAACGCAGTTGTGAAAATTTAAGAGCCATAAGATAAGTAGTCGGAATTGTCTCTTACAATCTGCAGTCCTTCTTGTAAAGTAAAAAAAAAAAAGGATTTTAAATTTCATTTCACTTTTTTTTTACTTTTACAACAGTTAGAGTAGAGACAAAGATTTACTAAAACTATAAAATCCATTTAGGACGTTCTGAGATTTTATGCAAGTGAAATATGAAAACTGTAAAGGCGAAAAGAATTATTTTTATTCTTAGCATAAAAATCACCTTCTTTCACTCAGACTGACTCAGGAAAGACTTCGTAAGTTCACGGACAAATCTTAACAAAGACTTTCTGGATACGAAAAACGGAGAACTTTGTACAATACAGAAGTAGAAGCTTAGTGGATGAACCACAGCAACACTGTTCTAAGCTCTTAGTTAACGTAACCTATTTTCACTTTGAAATCACTACATGACTCCATTGGTTTGAATTTATGCTTGCTCTATATGCATTTTCATTTTGTTTTACTAATTTTTTAATCTTTTACATTTTGCAAAAAAAATATGCACATAACTTAAAATCATATACAATACTCACTTCCTGAAGCACTGCAAGACTTGAATTAATGTCCAGGGTGGGGGATGAAGTACAATTTTCTCCCTAAAGAAAAAATTAACATCATAT